TCGAAACCCCCACTCTATGGGGAGCAGAGCCCAGGAAGGGTGTGTTGGGTGGTGAACACAGTTTGGCAGAGGAACCCCTGGTCAAAGGGGGCGCGAGACGCCAGAGACGGGTTTGCTGGCAAGTCAGGGAGCTGGCAGCTGGCTCAGACCGAAGAGGTTTGGAGAACCTAAGCTGACTTTGTTGGCTGTTTCCTAAAATATGGCTCCTCAAGCTGCCCTTCCTCTCCCACCATCTGTCCCGAGGTTGCTCTATGTGGCGAAGGACAGCTGTGTCTTCTAAGGTGCCAGCCACAGCCCCGGCAAGTAGGCTGGGGTGGGGGCTTAGATCCCACCTCCCAGGTTGGAGCAGCCACCAACCACCTGCCACAGGACCCTTCTCTAGTCCCCTGCCTGCCACCCGTGCCTCCCTCCTGCAACCTGGCAGCGTGGAATCAGGCACAGGGCAGCCCCTCCTGTCTGTCTCAGCTCTCTTGGGTACTGATGAGGAAACAGAGGCCCAGGGAAGATAACTGATTTGTCTCTGGTCTTCCAGTAAGTTTCCCTAAAAGCCAGACTTTCACGGGTCTTTCTCTCCTAGTTGAGTCCTCTCTCCGCCTTCCTCACTGCTCCAAAACCTTTCCCTCTGCACTTATGGCACAAAATGACCTGATGCAGAGAAAGTAATACTGGTTAAGGATTAGTAGACCGGCATAGCTAGCTATGTGACCTTTTCTCAGTTTGTTAACCTCTCTCTTTTCTCTTCTGTCAAACCAAAAACGAAACAAAACAAAACCAACAATGATTAGATTTAGGAAAAACAGAACAAAATACCTTGTGGGTGGTCGTGGAGTTGTTTGGCCAAAGTTAAAAAAAATGAAAAGAAAAAGAATGGCCCCCAAATGGGTCAGAGGACAGATAAATGTTAGTTTGTGGGCTCCCTTGCCAGTGATCCCAAAACTCTGGCCACACTAGGAAGTGACCCAAAGGGAGAAAATAGGGTATGTCCATTTGGGGCTGCGAAGGTTGGCTGCAGCTTTCTTCCCCTGAATATCCCCACCTATCCCACCATAAAGGAGGTAAAGTTTTAACCATAAGAGCGCAGGACCCCTTCTTTCTCCCCGCTTCCCTCTGCCAGCTCCTCACCCTTTTGGTTCAGAAGTTTCTTCAGAAGATGGACTTCCCACCCTGAGGTTCTCTGGCTTGCCTCTCCCCTCCAGGGTCACCACTGGTGCTCCCTGCTTCTGTAGGGGTGTCTGGCAGAGAAGAGGGGCCACGCCATACTCACAGCACGCAGCTGACCCAGGATGGGCAGGAGTGCTCAGGGCCTTCCCGTCCTGGGAGCAGTGGCCTGAGACATGGCGCCCCCTGCAGGCCAAAGCAGGAGCGGCGGCATCTGTGAGGCAATGACAAGAGTCTGCAGGGGCACCCAGTTTACCCAGGTCACAGCCTCTAAGGGAGACCATCACTTCCATTTGTTGAAGCTCCCAGAATTTAGTAGTCCCCCCTTATCTGCAGTTTTACTTTCCATGGTTTCACTTATTGTGGTTTCAGTTACCTACAGTCAACCTTGACCCAAAATTATTAAGGGAAAACTGCAGAAATAAACACACCGTAAGTTCTAAATTATGTGCTATTCTGAGTAGTGTGATGAAATCTCATGCCATCCCACTCCATCTCGCCTGCGACATGAATTATCCCTTTATCCAGCGTATCCACGCTGGATATGCTTCCACCCATTTGTCACTTGGTAACTGTCTTGGTTATCAGAATGAGTGTCCCAGTATCTCAGTGCTTGCGTTCAAGTCACCGTTATTTCACTTGACAGTGGTCCCAATGCACAAGAGCAGTGATGCTGCCGATCAGATATGCCAAAGAGAAGCCGTAAATTGCTTCCTTTAGGTGGAAAGGTGAATTCAATACAATAAGATATTTTGAGAGAGTTTGACTACATTCACATAACTGTTAATATAGTATATTGTTATAATTGTTCTATTTTATTATTGTTATTGTTAATCTCTTACTGTGCCTAATTTATAAATTAAACTTTATCATAGGTATGTATAAACAGGAAACAACTTTGTATATATATGTGCTGTGTGTGGTTTCAGGCATCTGTTGGTGGTCTTGGAATGTATTCCACACAGATAAGGGGGTGGACTATTTGTTTTTCTTAACCCCTTCACTTTTATCACCCAGCCCCCAATACTCCATCTCCCAGATTGGCAATCACCAGTTTGTTCTCTGTAGCTGCGAGTGTTTTGTTTTGTTTGTTCATACTACTATTTTAGAATAATAATGAAACCGGCTACTGAGTTTTAAATGTTTACTTGGAACAGAGTAATGCTTTTCACACCTATACAGCAGTGTGACTGTGCTATTCACAAGATAACAGAAATTAAAAAACAAAACAAATCATAGTGCATAGAAGTGGGACACCTGTTTAAAGTGGTTTGATAAGTATCATTTTTTTACCCCATCTGTGTTTTCCTGGATTATATGTTAGCCTAATTTGGGAGGACAAGACTTTAAATCTGAATAGGGCTTTGGTGATGGGGGCACTCCAGTACTGGG